GGGTAGGCCAGTGATTCCAACTCTACTTTGCTCTGTCATGAAGACTGCATCTCAGACTCTTCAGTAATGGATCCTGGTTTTTTGGGTGGTTGGATTTTTACAACTTCAACTTCACAACAGCAAATGAGAACATCTTGAAACTGAGTGAATCTACAGAGCACTGAACAAATACATACAGAGCAGTGGACAAACCTGCTATCACATAACAGCAAACAACTGGAGAGTATTTTTATTTAAATGTTACTATCAGAAATGTTTTTACTGTAATGAACCAGACCCTATAGTTACAAACAACATTGTCTTCTTACAGGAAGGAAAATACAGTTATCTAAATTAGGATATGTTGTTTTCTTTTTTAAATCCTTAAAGATAAAAAAGAGCTATGCCTAGATAAAGGAACTTCATTATTCACTATATATTTTACTCAATACATCACATTAAAATTTGTTTACCTGAGTAGTAAAAGTTCCCCCCCCCACTTTTTTAGTCCATACTTGCAAGGACAGTTAGCTCCTACAATAACCATCCTGCTGACTTATATCAAATTTATAATGGTAGAAGAGAGAGACCAAAACTAGTTTTAATTTATTCACTTCACCTATTTTCAAAGGCAACAGACAGCTGAGTACTTTGCAAGTTGCACCACAACCAGATATGGCATGTGCTTACCCAGCCAGAAAGGAAATGCTGAATGGAGGAGGAGAAGGAGAAAGAGGGTAAGACTTCAGGAAGAAGTGAGAGAGGTCAGAGTATGTAAGAAAAGGTGAGCGTATTACAGAACTTATTTATTCATTAGTACAGAGTTACACAAATTGTATTTTATTTCCTCTTGGAATTATTAGTGAACAACCAGTTTTCTAAAAGCATTCAACAACAGCACTCTTAATCCATATCTTAATGTTCTGAACACCAGAAACTCTACAAGTAAAACACGAAGAAAGTTTTAGTAAGCAATAATTTACTTAAAAGGAAACACAATTTCTGTTTCAAGTCGCTTTTATATAAGCTGAGGTAGTCCATGGTGTAAAGGCCTATCAACAACTCTGACAGATCAGAATTCTTGTCCAGAGGCAAATTCCTTCTTCCATTGCTACCACTCTAGTATCATTCCTTTCCAAGTCTTATTAACTAATAAGGAAAATACTACAGAGCACAGCCACAAATATGATATGCAATGCTACAGGCTTGGGGAGGAGGGGCTGGAAAGCTGCCTGGAGGAAAAGAACCTGAACATGTTGATTGACAATCAGCTGAACATGAGCCAGCAGTGTGCCCAAGCAGCCAACAGCATCCTGGCTTGTATCAGAAATAGTGTAGCCAGCAGGAGCAGGGAAGTGATCCTTCCCTTGTATTCGTTCCTGGTGAGGTCCCACCTCAAAGACTGATCAGTTTTGGGACCCTCATTACAAGGAGGACATTGAGATGTTGGAGCATGTCCAGAGAAGAGCAACAAAGCTGGTGAAGGGTTTAGAGCACAAGTCTTATGAGGAGCAATTGAGAGCTGGGGTTGTTTAGTGTGGAGAAAAGGAGGCTGAAGGGAGAGCTTATCACTCTCTACAGCTACCTGACAAGAGGTTGTTTTGAGGTGGGGTTCAGTCTCTGTAGTTGTAGCTAGTGATAGGATAAGGGGACATGGCCTCAAGTTACACCAGGGGAGGTTTAGGTTGGATATTAGGAAGAATTGCTTTATTGTAAGGGTTGTCAAGCACTGGAACAGGCTGCCCAGGGAGGGAGATGGTTGAGTCACCATCCCTTGAGGTCTTTAAAAGATAAGTAGATGTCATGCTTAGAGACATGGTCTACTGGTAGACTTAGTAGGGCTCGATCAATGGTTTGATCCTATGATCTTGAAGGTCTTTTCCAACCAAAACCATACTATGATTAATAACCTGACAACTGAATTGTTTCTTTACAAATACCAAATTCAACTGTCTGATGCGCAATGGTTTATTTCAAAAGTCCATCTTCACTATCAGTCATAAATATTTTATTTTTCCCTGATCCAACTGGCAAGATTAGTTTTGTCCAGATAGACAAAAGCCCACAAATGCAAAAGTAAATGGCAATCCTGCCTTTTGATTATTATCTACCAGAAGTACAAGAAGGTATAACCCACAGGGTATTTCAAAGACAAGAGGATGCTAGGTACACACAGTGATACACCCGATACTGCATATACAGCAACTTCTGCTGCTGCCTTCAAAATCCAGAAAAGACTTGCATCCATTCTAACAGTATAGTTATATATACTTCACTGTACAAGATACTGCATAAAACACAGTTAGGATAAATAATATTAGTGCTGACTTTTGAAATTTTGGTACATTGGTTCAAGCTATGCTTACAAAGAAACATGAATATGTAGCATAAACATTTTAACTGTTTCATTCTGATCAAGTCATCAGTACCTCTTTCATCATTCTTCAGCACACATACACTTTAAAGTTATAGTTCACTCCTTTTCATTCCTTTAGAGTTTAGATTCTTTTATTAGCTTTTAAGATAATTGGTAATTAAGAAAACATTAATGAATAAGCACTTTGTATTTAAGCATACAAATAAAATAGTAGAGAAATCTACTGCACCTACAGGAAGCAGAGAGCAAACAAATTACACCTGTTTTTCTGTTTCTACTACAAAGCAGTAGTCCAGACCAGAGACACATTGGTGGAGTGAGGAAATCACACAGAAGGAGTCTCTCTCTCCTCTGGCATGAAATGATAACAGTATTCTATGAAGAGGGAAATAGATTGTGCTTTGCACTGCAAGAGCATGGGACAGAAGGGAATTACTTAAAGTAAACTTCAACTTTCCTGCACTTAACACTCAGATGTCATTGCATTGTTTTCAGTAAATACTGGCCTTCACACATTCATGCACAGACTAAAATGGACTAATTAGAAACTTAGCAAGATATCAGAGAACTTATTGCTATGCGGATAGCAAGTATCTCATTATTAAAACAGAAAAACATCCAAAACACTACTCAAAAAACAAGCAACAAACAAACAAACGTAAAGAAAAAACACCAAAAAAACTACAAAAAAGAAAAGCTGAACATCCTTAAAACATGAAAATATTAAAGTCTAACTTTCACTATAAATTTGGAAACTTGTGGTATCCTTTATTCCACTCAATACATTTTCATTTTTCACTTTTAGGGTCTTAAGGGAAAAAAGTTTATGCCACAGAACTCTTATTTGGCAAGCATGAGTGATGACGATTTGCAGCTCCAACCAAAGACATCTTCAGGGACGGGAAGGTGCATGGGACCAGTTTAATCTCATTTGCTAAGTGCTCCATTTCCATGCCACAAACACTAGTGCTTCCTGACCAAGCCTTCCTGCTTCACAATATAAGAAGCGCTTCAAATACTGGAACAAATTCTAGGGTTTATGTGATTTGAACATGCCAAGAGTAGCATAGCTATGCCATGAACACAGACACCAAACAGAAAACAAGACAATACAGGAAAGAATTTATAACTCAAGATGCAGACTCGTATAGGGAGCATAAATCAAAGAACTACTGGATCCCTCCACAGAACTGGACGCTGCACGAGCAAATTCTGTTCAAACGCTTGAGGCTCAATCAATTTGAAGGCAACAACAAACTTACTTCAGTCACCATCAGACTCAGTCAATACACTCTGCCTTCTGATCAGCTACTTGCATGGATCAAAAAGCAGCAGCAAGTCCCAGGGAAGTGACTGGGCTCTCTGCAGGTACAACCAGACACCAAAATAATCTGTATTACAGGATTAGGACATAGAGATTTCTATTAAAAAACCCCTAAAGTTGTATTTATTCAGAAACACAGAACAGTTGTCAACTGTCACAGTTGCATTTTCAGAACAGATTTGATTTAAACTAGCTGCATTAAGTTGGTTTTATTGCCTTCTCTGTACTAATAACACTCAGATAGCAATAGAGGTTAAAAATCTAATTTATTTTTCAACATATACACTATTAGCTTGTTGAACGACACTCCACTTGATCAAAACAGATTAGCCAGTTTCTCCCTGAAACCACCAGACCATCACTACTTCTTAAGACAAGATTCTTTATGATATCCCCAAAATGTCATTTAATTACTGTATTATGGAGGTCTTATGCCTGCTAGACAAAGATATTGTCATGATAAACTATTATAACTTTTGATAGTTTATTTTGTAACTTCAAAAGGGTATTTCTCCTCAAAGACCTTTTGTGTGGCTGAATTTAATAACAGGTTACTTCAAATATTTTACAAAACCTAGTTTTTAAGCAGAGAAGCTCCTGACTATCTGGTCTGTGAATGTCTCCAGACCTTTAGAAAATTCAAATTTTTTTTTATTATTTAAACACATGCATTGAAACAAAAGCATATGCCAAATACTATTAAAGGAAGGCTTATTTAATGAGATTTTGCTGATCATGTATCAGCAGCACCCCCATGTGTTAAGTGAACAAGACACTGCTTAGAGATTACTGATATTGCAGAATATAATCAACCATTTACAATTTAAGTAATTGATGTAGGCCTGAATACTAACAATACTTTTACATCATGTTGCCATGCCAAGCTTGCAAAGCCTTTAAACTATTATACCATTTCAAGTAATAGAAGAATTTTAAAAAGTTAAAAAAAAAACCCAACTCTTATTCTTTTACTACTGCTAATAAAAGAGAAGAGAAATAAGTATCAGCAGAAAAGACTAAATAAAATCTAATATCAGATGTAGTGAATGGATTCAGTGTACCACCCTGAACAACTCAAGAGGGAAAGAAGAAGGGAAGAATGAAAGAAAAAACTTTGTTCACTAGTATGATACTAAGATTGGTATAAATAAATACTTCACAAAAACTGTAAAACTAATTGTAATATTACCTACCGCTAAAGTTACTATAGTATTAGTGTGCTTTTCATAATACACATCAAAACTGCATAAGAAGGTGTACTGAAGGTCAAAATTCACACAATTTCAGATTATTAGGAGAACATTTATTAGTAGTACTTACACTAACATGGGTTTTCCTGATATCTTAGGGCTGTTTAAAACTTCTATCATGGCTTGCTTGGTTTCTTCCATTCTTGCAATGTCACTGGAATCCACAACAAATATTACACCGTAGGACTCAGCGTAGTAATTTCTCCAGATATTTCGAATTTGTTTTCCACCTCCTAAATCAAAGATGGTGACTTCAAAGCGTCCCTGTTTAAGGTCAATCTTGGAAAACCCAACTGTTGGAGCCACATCTTCAGGAGACTCTGTCAGAGTTCAAAGAAGAAAGCCTTCAGTAAAGTGTGCTTTGTTATTTAAAAAGGATTTTACATTGTGATTTGTGTAGCAAAATTCATATTTTAAAAACATGGAGTAAACCTTCCCTGTCAAGTGACACCATATTGCTAACCACATTTTTTTTTTACATTATGATTTTCCCTCTCCTCAAGTAATTTCCATATTCAGGTTTTGGCCTTTCTTTCTTTGTTTTTATTTGCCATGCAATATGCAAAAATACTATAGCTTTATATTTAATACTTTTGCTTGCTGTCTCCTTTTCCAGAAGGCACAGAAAGCCTGTATTGCATGACACCACTAAGCTGTCTCTGCAAGGGTGAGTTAATTGGATCTCTGCAACTGTTTCATGTAGCTTGGTAGCACAAGGCAGGAGAAACAGATGTAAATTCAGCTTGTTGAGAGGAAGAAATGAAGGTACGGTCAAAAGCACTGTGCTCTGAAGAGCAGTGCAGAAGGTAAACCACCATCAGCCTTGTGCGAAGATATTCCTTTTTTTGAAAGAGTCCTTCACACACAGCCAAGATAAGGACGAGACCCCTTGTCCAGAACAGCATAAGCCAAGACTCCAGCAAGAGAAGTGTGCTGGAGACCATTTGTGGAAAACTACAGATTCAGAACACAGCAGACTTTATTTTGAAGAATGTTTTGCACTGTGAGCCATAAGTATACGCTCTTACAAGAGAGAACAATGTGAACATAAAACATTGGTTATGGTTGAAATTTATTGATGGTACTGAATGTAAGGGGATATTGCTGAAACATCTGTTCCTACTGTACAGTGAGGTCTCAAATAACAGCCAGTCTTCAGTGTAAACACAGGGGCTGCTGCCACATAAGCTGCAGATCTATTTTGTCAAATACGACTTTGGGGACCATGCTGATTTGCCCAGGTTTAAGAGCCCTAAGAGCTGAGATATATTGGGTTTCTGCTAAAAGCCAGCAATCATAACTGTAGACTCCTCCTATAAGCTGTAAGACTGGTGCACAGACAAAAATACTGGTTTTACAAATCCTGAAGACAAACTGAAGGTTCCAATCTCTGCAAGCCCTGTCAAGGAAAAAAAAAAAAAATGCTTTCTAGGGCAAGCACTCAATTCAAGTCCTGGGAAACAGTCACAGAAGTCAGAACTATCTAAAGGTCTAAAAGACCTTTAGAAATAACTGTCACATTTAGCTGATAAAGGCATTGAAGTTGATTTAGAAACAGAATGGAAGGCTAAAAAATGAAGCACTTACGTGTTCAGGGCAAAGATTCAAGAATATAAATGAGAGAATATTTGTAACTTTGTTCACACTTTAGCAAGCCTGTGAACTTACATAACATGCCTAAACAGAAAGTCCAGGTGGAGTCTCCAAGTCTGCCAAAACACTACTTAGTACTTCTTGTTATTACACAAGATGAAAGTTATTTAGAAAGACAATTCCACAGGGGCAGGAAAAAAAAGCATAGAGAATTTTTGTTTTCATAAGCACAAGCTTTATCTCAAATTATGTCCTGCTTGCACATGTCATTGGATGGTGCAAAGTACTTTCCAAAATCAAGTGGTCACTTACTGAAATATGTGCCTAGAAAATTGCTAGTGCTTTTCTGATGATAAATATGATATAAAGTATGTATCACTACAACCATCCTTTATGTTATATACGTACAGATGCAATTTCCTTCTCTTGAACCTTTTTGTCATTATACACGCTTACAGCTCTGATTTTTTTTTAAATACAGTTTACTGATGTATGTGCGTTACTGGATGGTCACCTGAAACCAACTTAAGCGTGTGCACACAAGAAAAAAGGAAAACCAAACTCCCAAAAAACCAAACAGGTCCATTGATTTCTCTAATGTATACTAAGATGTGAAACACATCATTAACCGGAACATTTTGCATCATTGCATTAGTTCAAAGTAATTATTAATTAGAATGTGGTATGCAGCCTTCAGAGTTTTTGTTCTACACTTTCTTTCACTTAAAGCAACTGATGGAGACAGACAGCTTGCTTGTAGTTACAATGTTCCTTCATCTATTTATTTAACTACTGCAAAAACATTCTTCCAGTCCAAAAATACGCTATGATGCTCATGAAATTTTAAGAAGAGTCCAGAACAGATTTTGTTGCAATTTAGGATTTTACACAACAAACAATACAGTGGTCAACCCAAAGCACGTAAGCACCAAGGTACTCTGAACATCTGGTCTTAGTGTTTCCAAGATAATTAAACACCTCTACAGACTAATTTTTTCTGTCTCAGTGGACTAAGGGCTCTAATGCTGCATGGTGCAATGTTTAACAGGCAGCTCTCTACATACTGTCTACCTTGCCTCCACCATACTGTTAGCTTTGAAAAAGATGTGGCAGACTGGTAGCAACTTTGTGGAACTACCACTGATTTAGTCTACGTTGGCTCAATATGATGTTAAGTGCAGTGGCCAGTGAGCAAACACAGAGCTTGCTCTGCCACTTCTGAAGCACAAAGCACATGACTGGGAGCAAGTATTTTTTAAGTCAGCCTAGCACGACTTGTCAGATACCAAAAATCAAGATCTTTATGTTTCCAAGGTAAGACTCCTTAATTTTTCTCTCATCTGCAGGTCTTCATGCAATGGGGCCTGTGACATGCTCACTCTGGCAACCACACTTGAACCACTTTTGGTGGTACCATCACCAAAATTTTCTTTCAATAATATGGGAGATATAAATTAGGAGATGAAGCAATGTTTTTAGATTAAAATGATGGAAAAATCAGTTATTTTACACTTTTTTTCACTCTTTCAGTGCTCCATTTAGATGATAAATTAATTGCTTACCGCCTTGAATTCCACGGACTGTAGCAGTTTTACCAGCATTGTCAAGACCCACCATTAGTAGTGTCACCTTCCTCCATAAGTAGAAAAAAAAAAACAGACACACATTTAAAATATTTTTTTCCTCTAGTTAGATATCACTTATTTTATTAAGTTTTTTAATACATGCATAACAAAATTACCACAAAGTAGTAGAAATAATAGGTATCAAAGCACCAAGCAGCACACAATTGTAACAATGCCTATCTGGTGTTCAGTATGTCAAACCAAAAAAATTAGACGAAATAGTAGAACAAGGTGCAAAATGAGAAGTCTAATATTGTGCTCTAAGTTTCTCATGAGAATGATTTTGCTTTCAACTTGTAATTGCTGAAATTAATTTCATGGTACTGTAAATTTCATCTTTTTTTGTGTGTGTGATCATGGTCTCTAACAATTTCTGTAATTTCATTTCCATTCCCCTGAATTTTTATAGTTGCTCTACCTCAGAGTTGTGCCTATACTAGAAATTTATTTGTCTCAACCAGTACAGTTGAACAATACTATGCAGTATACAAGACTTGTGTAGACAACATCACATGTTGTAAATAAGCAGCACTGGTACTCACTGTGCTTTTGTTTCAAGCATAAGCAAATGTGCCCCTTTAAGCGAAGAAATACTAAAAACATTTTTATTTCCAATCTTAAAACTATTATAGCATCATACATGAAATATAATTTATGCAAGTTCTTTCAGAAGCATCAAAAAGCTCCAAGAAAAGAACCTAAAAATGAACAGTAAGGTCATAAACTATACTTTAATAATAAGCTAAAATCAGAAGAGTCATGAACATTTATAAACTCACAACTGTCTATAATATATTGGATGCACTATCTGTGCATTTCTGCTAATTGGAGGGAAAAGGATGCAGGACGTCAAAGAAAAAGTAACCAGAACAGCAGAATTCCATGAGCCAGAATGGATCACCAGGCTACCCATAAAATGCAGCATTAAGATACTTAGATCACAGTAAGAAAACCAGTATTACACTGGGGCTATAGTCTACTCCTGACAACAAAGTGTTTTAACACATTGCACTTCAGAATTTCAAAATGCAGAAATTAAATCAATAAGACAAAAAACAAAGCAAACTTTACATAAACATTCTAGCATCACCCTATAATGCTCAACTTGATAAAAAAGTATGCAATGGACAATATTTTGAACTTTTTATTTCCTTGAAGTCAGAAACAAAGTATCTGAATTAGAGATGATTAACCCTTCATTTTTAAGTTCAGAAGAGGTACTGAATCTCTCTTGGAGGGAAAAAAAAAAAAATAAAAAAGATGGATTTTGTCTCGGAATTAAAAAATACAAAACAATGTTAATATAACAAATAAAGTAAAACATAAGCGAGGGGATGTGAAATACAGTTTGGGAAGATCAGCAGAGAAATGTAAAATACTTTGTCATGTTTACCTGACAGGTTCCTGCCACCGTTTTAACCAGCTGCAGCAATTGGCTATTAGACTGAACATCCCTCTTCACAAGTGATGCAGAGCCACAGAAGTTACAGAAACAATGTGGACAGGTCAGAACAACCCAAGAAGACTGTGAGAGGACTGCAGAGGCCCCACTATTGTCTTGTAACTGCTAGCAAAAGAAAAAAAAAAGTTAAAAAAATGCATAGTTAGCCCCTATGTATAACCACTGCAAGTCATTTTCCTAGTAGTAGTCTGTTCCTTCACTAACACACCCCACAGCTCTGCTGACTGACAGAAAATAAGGACTAATTTCAAGCATGAGTAAGACTTGTAAGAACATAACAGATTAAGACATTAAAAGCAAAGAAAATCCTACCTGTTATGTATATTCATTTAACTCTTGACTTCGTTTACAAGAAAAGATCTCACAAGAAGGAAACTGGGTTCTTTAGTGCGTACTTTGAAGAACTGGCAACTTAATATCTATTTAATTTGGTGACAATTACTAGAAGTATCAAATACTCCCATCGTTTTACAATCCTGCTTTCTATTCTTCAAGCAGAAGAAAAAGGGAATACTCCTCTTTCTGATGTTCTCTTTGGAACAAACAATGCAGAATAACTGTGTCATCACATGCATGCTTATTTCTTTATATGCACACTTAGCTATGAAACAGTAAAGCTTATACAAACCATGCATACACTAAGATGCAAAAGCTTTAAACCTCCCTTAAGTTACTCAGCTGCATTAATCCTACTGTGAACAACAGTAGTCATCCAGGTAAAGGCCTTTCACCAGCAAGCTTTGAGCAATTTTCCTTCATGAGTCCAAATCCATAACCCTCCCTGGTAGGATGATGTACCAAGTCTGGCTGCTATTTTGTTCACAGCAACCTGTATGGTGGTGTGCTCTGTATTTTTTGGTAAAACACTGCTGATAACACACAAATATTTTGGCTATTACTGGACAGTGCTTGCACAGCATTCCTCTCTTTCTCACTTTGCCCTGTCCCCCTCCCCCCCCAGCCAGTAGGCTGGGATGGGCAAGAGGTTGGGAGAGGACACAGACAGGACAACCAGCCCCAAATGAGAGGAGGGACATTCCATACCATATGATATAGTGCTCAGCAAAAAAAACAGCTCAGGGCAAAGAGGAGGAAAGGAGAATGTTTGTGGTTATTGTGTTTGTCTTCTCAAGCAGCCATTAAGTGTGCTGAGGCCCTGCTTCCCAGAAAGTGCCTGAATATCTGCCCACTGATGGGAAGTAGTGATTAATTCCTCTTTTTGCTCTGCTTGAGCAAATAGCTTTTGCTTTCCCCATTAAACTGCTGTTATCTCTATCCACAAGTCTTCTCATCTTCCTTCTATCTTCTCCCCATCCCATGGAACAGCAGAGTTAGCAAGTCACTGAGTGCGTTTTTAGCTGCTGGGCAGGGTTAACCCACACCAGTCTTTCTCAGCACCTCAAGTGGGGCTAAAGATTATAACAGCTTTGTTCCTATTTGGGGAAGGGGCATGGGGGAGAAAGGGGCTAAAGAAGAAGGGAATAATATCCATGTGTATGTCATGGAACAGGGTTTGGTGGTTAATGACACACACATCTTTCCTCTAGGGATTATCACAACCATTGCAGAAGGAATGAGCCCTACCACCTCAGCTCATAGGCTCATATAATCTTAGCTTCCATTTTGACCAGCAGCTTAAACTAAAAAAACCAGCTCGATTAATATCAGAGCAGCTAAGATTTAAACAGATATTTCCTACTGCTAACTTGCATCCATGAGCAGATTAACTGAGAGTAGTGACACTTCGAATTACCACAGCAAGTTTCCTAAAGCTTGTTTCCCAAAATTTGCGGGGTTTGTTTTTAAACAAAGTTACTTTCATTTTTTAAAATTATAACTAATCTCAAACTAAGGTAATTTCAAATTATGCAGAAAACTAAATAATTAAAGATTATAATAACTTTCCAAAGTTGTCACCTTCCCAATCTAGACCAAAAAAAGTGGAAAAAATGAGGAACTATCCCTAACAAACTATGATGGTTTAGACTATTTATACAAATAGGAACTAAGAACTCCTGATCTTATGAAGCTGCTGTATTCAAGAATGCCTTTGTGTGGATCTGCCATCATTCAGTGTTAGAAACAGGTCAGATTTCTTCCAGAGCAGAGACAACAGATACTCTTTAAGTATTTATATTCCATTATACCTGAGCAACTGAGAATAACTTCTCCACAGGGGAGCTTAGTGTGTGAAGAACAGACAAGGTCCTAAAAAGGAGAGCAAGATGATTACAACTCTTACACGTATTAAAAATCGGGCTGTGGAGAATCCAAAAATCACCTCAAAAAAACAAACCCACATGCAGTGGAGTATGGTGCCTCAACCCACAAGCAAGTACCAACAAAGCTAACTTTGAGAACATAGCCACACAGATTTTCAGCTAGTTCTGCTGAAAAGCAAAATGTAACAGCTCAATGAACAATGCACTGACAAAAATGTAACATTTTCAATGTTCAGGCATCATCACAGAATTATTCTCATCCCATATTATACAGATTGTCTAGCTTTGCAAATTGTCACAGTATTGCTCTAAATCACAGATATGACCCATAGCATTCAAATAGGATTCATGAGATTAATAAAACTTCTTAAAGAGTGAAGTGCAGAGGATGACTACGTCATAGCAGAGGAATCTTGTTTAAATATAAAACCCCAAAGGGGGAGTGGGAGGTGGGCAGTGGGTGACAAATAAGATAAAAAATTTCCAAAACATGCCACTGTAGGAGGAAAGGGCATTCAACACTGCTGAGAAAATTATGGTAGGGTGGCAGATCACATTGTGTTACACTATTTTGGAGATGCTTGATCTCTGAAATATGCATGAAACATACAACATGTATTTTATATGTCATATTAACAACATTCAGAAGGTGTTCCAGACATTTTATCTGTCACCTTGAACTCTTTATGTGAGGTGAGGCAAAACAAACATGCTCACCAGCTCAGAAATATGTAGAACGGTGTAGTTAAGCCAGTTTAGGCAGCTGGTTAGCACAAGTGTCAAGGACTAAGAATGTCAAAGATCACATTTTCAGGTAAGAGAAAAGAAAGTGTATTACAGAGACTAAGAAAAACATGACAGACTGCATTAACTCTTAACACTCTAGATTAAGATCATGAGCTAGTTAGCAGCCTGTATGTTATGTGATCTAAAGTACTGGCTACCAGCAAGTTCAACATCCAAAGTCATCTGATGAATAATTTTATCTACTTCCATACCCAAGTAAAAGAAAAAAGCACCTTTTTACACATTTCCCTGTCAGAGTTTACATTAAATGTTCTGTCTTTAGTAGAGGCTTTTCTGTTAAGAGAATTTTTCAGTCATACCAATCTCTCACTTCCCTTAAAACATACTTTTCCCTAAAACAAACAATTTAAAGCTGACCCTCCTCATATAGTTATTTAACATCCTACTATGATGTTCCTTGCCTGACTTGTTTGAATTTTAATTATAAGAACATAGTGTTTTAGTTGCATTGTGTTATATTTTGAACAGCAAACCAAGTGATGGAGCAGCAAAGAAGGCATATTCAGCAAAAACCTGAACACCATCTTCTCTGCCAAAATTGCAGTGTAGTCAACAAGCGCATTAAGTGCAAGCAAGAACTGTAACGCCTTGAAAGACTAAAGCATACACGTATTTGTGAAAAATAGCTCTAGGGCCATCACTTCTTTTGTAAAGAAAAGTTACTACAAGACTAGCAGTTCAAGGGAGTTTCCACACTTTGCTGCCACGTTTCCACTCGTGTTTCCAAAAAAGCAGCAGCTCTAAAATCAAGACTCTGGTTTGGGCATGTTTCTGTTGCTTGTCTCTACCACTGTGGGAGTACGGTTTTTTGTTTTGTTTTGTTTTTAAATCAGCATTTCAGAGAAAAACCTACTCTGCTGCCTAGCGGCTTACAAACCGGCTGCCAAACACCCACCGCCCTAGGCTGCCCTTGTGGGCGCACACCGATGTGTTTCACACGGCAAGACAAGCAGAGCCGGCAGACTCGACTGGAGCTCGGCCAGATGGGAGCCGAGCTGGAGGCTCGGCTCGAGCCTGGCAGGGTGCCTCCTCCACCGTGGCGACCCCACTAGCCAGCCCGCCCAGGAGATGCCCTGGTTTCGCCGAAAGCAGACTTACCCCGAGCCCTCCCTGGAGGCGCAAACACCTGAAGGAGGCTCTCCCTGCCCTAGCGGGGCACCCCGGCTTCATTGCTCTCATCCTTAGCCGCCAGCTTCGCTCCTCTCCTGCAGCACCATCGGCAGCTCGCCGCTGATGGAAAAACGGGTCCCAGCGGGGCCGGACTGGGGATGAACTGCACAACCAGCTGCCTCACAGCGGGAACCGTGGGGGCCAGCAGTTCCCCCAGAGCCCTCGGCACT